AGGTTCGAATCCCGCCGTGGCCAGGCATATTTTTCAAGCCTGCTCGGTGTGGATATACACTCAGAGTAACATCACACAAACATCTTATTCACCTGAGTACATTACACCAACACAGCAGATTTCATAAATATTAGATTACACTGATATCGAAGGAACTAGACTCAGTTCCGAAATATCGCTTCCTCGAACTGTCCTGACCGCGTAGCTCAGTTGGAAGAGCATTGGGCTAGTATTCCAAAGGTCGTAGGTTCGAATCCCGCCGTGGCCAGGCATATTTTTCAAGCCTGCCCGGTGTGGATATACACTCAGAGTAACATCACACAAACAGATGGTCATATCTTATGATCAGAAGCAGTTATTATAGGGTAGATAAATTTGTTTGTATTTTGTTAAAACATAAAACCTCAATTTAATTACGCTTGATTTAAGCTCATGGTTAGACGTTTACTGCCGTCTTTTACTGGTGCACGATGTTAGTAATGCGAAACTATGAATGCTTGAGAGTTGTGTTGTACAATTTGTAACATAATTAAGGTACTGTGTAGCTGGCACAGTTTAGGAATCCAAGTACTATGTTGTTTACGTTCGTTGAATTTCGTGTTTTTGTGTTTTCTGCAGTAGATATTGCAATGATAAAATTTTTAAAATCACAATATTTACATTCATTCGCTTATCGAATCTCACTCCTCTCGCTCAATAGTTTTAAATATCCTCGTTATGATGCATGGTACATTATATATATTGTTATATTTAACAGGTGGGAAATTTGTCGTCGCTGACCAAAAAATCGCGGGCAGAAACAAAGCTCATTGCATTTACATTCAAAACAAAGCAGAAAGTTAGCAAGAAGCTGTTTTAGCTGACGATTTTTTGCTTTCCATTCAACGATTTACAAATTAACCGTGATTCTTTTAAAAGTCGACCATGAGTTCTTTGGTTTGGGATGATTTGTTTTGTAATTGAGTGATTGGAAGAAGTTAATATGGCGACGTGAACATGGGAGTAAATACCGTATACGTCGAGTTTGAAAATTTAGCTACTAATTTCGATTTCGTGAGCATATTTTGGTTACACGTTAATTATTTTTGTACTTGATGAGATTCAAAATCTGTTGTATATTCAAGCCCGGCTTTAGTGTAATTTTGGTGATGACCGGAACAGAGATAAAGATATTTTAAAAACTGGCCGTGGCCTCACGATAAAACTTTCTACAAATGTTCTCTGTTTCATGTACTTTTATTTGATATCTTAGGTATAAGCATAAAAATAGGGGCTCATACAGTTTACGAGGTTGTAAAATGCATGACTTGCCTCTATTTTCATGTAAACATTCGAATTTTTTCGACAGCATAGTAGCGACTATTTCAGATAGGACAGCCCACCAGAGACAATGGCAGGGTACTGAAATAGAACGTCACTAAAAAATTCTGTATGATTAATTTAGATCATGTCCATTTTCAAAATAAAACAGTCATTTATTTTGTACAAACATTTGGCAATATTTACACGATTGTGCCTTTTTGTAAACACGTGTTGCGTGTATTCCACGCATGCTCAGACAAATTTCCTACCTGTTGTTATATTTACAGTACTGCAGAAACACATGCACAACACGAATTGATTTTTTTTAAATATTGTATATAAGAATATTATAATATTATAAATTTAAGTTAGGCATTTGCCTGCATGCAATGAGACAAAGTATATATGTATATTATTAAAAGGTGCACCACAGAGACAATGTTTTAGATTCCAGAAGTGATCAGACGAAACCACACATTGAGTATCTTGGATGATTTGACCATCACAATAATAGTACATGCTTATTTACGTCATCTTCCAAACTTGTAGATCTGATTAATTGTACCAAGTTCGAGAATTCCAGAATCACTCATATCTTTAAAAATATTGATCCACCAGGTTGAATTGCTTCTTCTAAAAAAAGACCACCAACCCTCAATACGCTGGTTTGATGGCGATGACCCGCACTGATGAGCTTTCACACCAGCATATTCAGCATTACCATGAGCTCTGAAATAGGACTGCATCCCAGCAATTAGAACATTTTCTGTTCCGCAGTCCGACCGTACAACTCGAGGACATCCTTTTAAATTTCCAACGGCATCAAGGAACAACCTGGCAGGAATCTTAGGATTATTATTTGATTTGACAACCTCCAACCAGATTATCCACCTGCTATATCCACATATACATCCATGTATTGGAAACCCATATGGTTTCAGTTTATCGTAACCTGAAAGCAATTAACAAATGTTTTTAATCAGAGACACAAAAACTTCTCATTTATTCAAGCATTCCAAAGTTTGGGAGCAAAAATCGCACACCCTTACGATAGTTACGTCGTAATTAAATACTTTTTGACCTGGAAACATCGCTTTCATTAGGGAAGCCTCACATATCGATTTTTTCCACGAGAAACATCATATGACGTTTCTCGTGGACAAAATCGATATGTGAGGCTTCCCTTAATAAATACGTGGGGGATTCAGGCCGAGATTGGATCAACATTCTTGAAAGCAGAGGCTTTCAGGCCAAAATTCAAAAAGTATTTATGACATAATTATCGGAACGGTGTATTGACCACTGAAATATCAATATAACATATACTGTATAGTTCACTGGTATTGACTGTGTTAATATATTTGTCTAAGTATGTACATACCATCTATGTGCCAGGCAAAATTTGGTCCAAATGAAACATACGTTCTTCTCCGCAGGCGTCTCGCCTTCCTCTCCCTGACTCCATCTGGATCAATCTCTCTCATAATAGCAGATACTACTCCGCGTGGTACGATTAAGTGATGCGTTAAACGCACGGCATGCCAGATATAACGATAACCCGCAAGCGAACCAGCGTCTTGCATTTCCTTTTCTATGCACATGCGAACAGCTTGTTCGTCAAAATCAGTTTCTCGTTGCTTTAAGCCAAGCTCTTTTAGTTTTCGTTTCAGTGTTCTTACGTGAATCTGAACTCCATGGTGTTTTGCAAGCAAGCCTACAATATCGTGATATCGATAACCATGATAAAAATATTCCTCTATTATATTGTCAATGTTATCTCTATTATATTCAAAGTTATCAACAACAACGTTTATTCTAGAACCACATTCATGGCAAAAGTTTGCTTCTTCGATACAAACCACGCCACAAGAAGTACAAAACATATCCGCAATAAAAGCTTCAGTAAACAAAAGGAGTCAAGATATGGCGTTCGTCAAGTCAAGATGGCGTCAATCCCCAAATGCTTTCAGCAACTTTTCTTAACTTGCAGCAACCTTACTTGCAGCAACTTTATATTTAACTTGCAGCAACTTTATATTTAACTTGCAGCAACTTTTTATTTAACTTGCAGCAACTTTATATTTAACTTGCAGCAACTTTTTATTTAACTTGCAGCAACTTTATATTTAACTTGCAGCAACTTCATATTTAACTTGCAGCAACTTTATATTTAACTTGCAGCAACTTTTTATTTAACTTGCAGCAACTTTATATTTAACTTGCAGCAACTTTATATTTAACTTGCAGCAACTTTACTTTACTTACTGCAATAATAGTATAATTACTGCAATAATAATATAATTTCTGCAACTTTAATAAAATGACTGCAATTATTTTATTTGCAGCATGTCCCCTATGGGCCACCGTATATATGTGTTTTCAAACATACGTACCGGTTGTTCAACATAACAAACATATCCTGAACTTTGCTGGACTATATCTTCGCTCGAATAAAAGCTATCGAGACAGAAATACCACCATTAGAATCCTCGTATTGCAATCTGTTTATGTCTTGAATATCGTAAGATTACGACATAAACAACACATTTTATAGGCATTTTCGGAAATGCATGTGCATTTGTGATGCGTCATACACCAGTCGGCAATCTTCGGAGCCTAAATTTGCCGGGTTCTTTTCAGCCCACGGTCTAAAAACCCTCAGCAATCGATTCCCCATGATGTAATCCCCCAGTATCGTGAATTTCATTGGTTTAGGGCAAAATCTGTGCCTTATAGGAATTTTTTAGATTATAAGTGATGCACGCACCAACGGCTCACTGCCGTCTTTGATATTGTCTTATACACAAAGATAGCTTTTACGCTTGACGCCGTGATTGAAGCGATCAGTAACGAAACTTTTGCTATGGATGCTAGTGGAATATCATCAGATGAAGAAGAAGACTTGAATAGATGTTTGGTGATGTCAGATAGCGACCCAAGTCAAGTTATTTTCATGTTTTTAGCAAACACATGTTTTCATCTCATGGCCGAAGGATTAAATTTACATTCGACGCAACGTGAACTTTGACGCACATTTGCCATAAGAATTTGGTCTCTAGTCTAAGATCTGATACGAAATATAATAAATATACAAATAATCGATATAATAAGGCATTTATTTGATAGTTCTGTCAATTATCTTGCCACAAAAATCAAAGGTTTGAACCGATATCAAAATGTGTGAGCGTCGTGTTGCACACGTGGCATAAGGGGGCCGCACACCTGAAATTCTTGGTTTTTGAATGCATCTCGTAATATTGGTCTTATACCTAGTTGATTAGTGTAAATTCAACATGCTATATACCATTTTAAAGCTTATGAGATGCTTAAAACAAATAACATACTTAGAAATTGCTGATGACTATATGTATTTGAAAAAAAGCTTTGAAACATGATAACATGCATTTTATGGTACCCGGCTATTCATGCTATCTAGTGAAAAGGTATCAATCCTGCATAACTTACACTAATATCTATAGATTACCTATACTCCAAAAAACAAAATGATGACTGCATTTTTTAAAACTATACTTTTTGTTGCCACAGTAACAATTGTACTAAAGAGCTCTATAGCCGTACAGAGCCTATATGGCTAAATATGCTAGGTTGTAACGTAAGTAAAAATGCAATCATCATATTGTAAAACACACATCCACAAACAATATCTGAAAAAATGAACCAAATCGGTCAATTAGTTCTCAAGTTATTAGGTTCTATGTGACGGCCATTATGAAAAGCATACTTTTTGAGAAATCGTCCATCGAAGTTAGTGAAGTATCTCTAACTGTTCTCTTTTTAGTGTTACTGACATAATGACATGAAAACTGATTGTACTGCTAACATATCATACCCTTAGCTCATTTTAGCTATTCTTGGTGCTATTCCTGATGATTTGAGCTAGTGATACATCTTCATCAGAAGTTTCCGAATCTTTGTTCAGTACTAATTGAGCAAGAGGATAATCGTCTTCATCATCCGAGCTTTCTGACCCCACTTGAGCCAGAGGATCTGAACTTCCCACTGCTGTAAGAGCATTCACCTTCATCTCTCATGTCTGCTGCCAATTTAGCTTGCCTGATCTTCCTTCTTCTAACCTTCTCACACGTTGCCGCCTTCTTGGCAGAATGAAAAATCCTTGTTTTGTCCTTTTTGGCACTACCTTGAGATGTAAATACTCCAGCAGGAATGCCAGCTGCTTCCATCACTTGGTACCTTGAAGATGCACCAGAGTTGAATTGCAATACTGCTGACATTGCAGCTATCTCAACAGATTTGGGGCCTTTGAATCGATGTTTCGGAGCTCTATTCCATACAAGGCTATTCAAGCTCTCATTGACATTTTGAGAGTATCCTGGCAGACAACGAAGCAACAACGAATACTCACTAAGGCGCTTGAATTCTGGGAGCAACAGATCTAAGAACACAGGATCCAAATGGTGATCTTTTCTTTCAAGTGTGCCCTGCCGCTTATAAGAGCACCAGCTGTCGTTACCATCTGGACAAAATTTGTCTCTCGTTTGGATCGATCAGTTCACAGGAATGGTATAGCGCAGCCATGATTGCTTGTTGCATCACAGCTATTTGGGACTTCTGTTGCTCTGCTGTAAGCTTACCAGGCTTCACAGTTCCTCTTATTGCATTGCCATAATAAGTCGTCAACTTGTCAATTGCTTTGTCAGTAAGCCTATGCTTACTGCCCTTGACTGACTTTCCATCTTTCAGGGTTTTTTTTTCTTTTTCTTAGATCCCTCAAATGAGTACCCATTCTCTTCTGGACATGACCAATGCAGTCTAGTTTCATTGCTCTGTCACACTCAACTTCACCACTATTGTGACTTTCCCTCCACTTTTGATAATCATCACTCTCCACCCATTTCTTGTACTCTTTCGAACGCTTGTCCATATTTTCCCATTTTTCACATAGATCACAGCATCCATACATGTCCCAAATGCTACTATAAGCTTTGTTGTCTCCATCACAAATCATGAATTTGTATTGGATACCATACTCACTCGAACGTCCCCAGATCTTCTTAGCAATGCCACACTCCATCGATCCACTGGAGCTGATGTGACTTTGTGTCCAGTAAACCAAATGTCAAACTCGTTTGTATCTTCACCAAGATCCCTCTTAGCTGACAAACACTCCATGCAAAGTTTTGACTCAAAGTCATAGTCAAGCATCTCACCAGTATCCACAGATATGACAAAGCCAATTCCAAAATTGGCTGTGTAACCTCTTTTGGACTATGTTCCATCATAACTGACACCAATCTCTACCGCATCATTATCATTTGGTTGATGAAGTGCACATACTTTTTCTCTAGCCTTTTGTAAGTTATCGGACACAGCTTTCTTATGTGCATCATACAGGGCATTTACATGGCTATTCCAAGCATTTTGATTGCAAGGGGGAGGCATGTTGAAGATGTCACACATTGTCGCCATTGCTTCTCTACCAACTCCCATTTCACATGCAGCATACACCATCCTTCTGTTGACATCTGTAGAGCTTCGGTTTGTCCATGACTCAGTTGTGCTTCCTGATGTCTGAAGCTCCAATTTAGTGTCGCATTTGGTGCACTCTAGTTCAAGAACTGAGCCATTCCCATATCTTCGAGCTTTGTCATCTTACATCTGCAACTCTCCCCCAGATTCACACTGATGTAAATGCTGGAATGCACTCAACAAACCAGAAAGTTCAGTCATTCTATAACTATATGAATTTTCTAGATCTTCATCTTCCGTCTGATGGCCAACCTTTCGCATTGATGCTGTTTCTGTGACCGGTGTAGAAATATTCCTTGGCTCTTGACTTGAGCCCTCATGTGTCTCCTCGTCTGTCTGGCTGTTTCTGCTGATATCCCAGCTACTTATGCCGTGAAATCGCCTCTTTTTAGAGACTTTTGGCATCGCCAAGAGAACAACAACAGTATCAATGTAATAAGTAACAATAAATTTGAAAAAAAATTGAGTTTTTTGTGCTAAAAATCGAAGACAAATCCATTTCCATAGCAACGAGACTCAATTTTTTACTATCCTTCATAAAAAGGGTAATTTCTTTTCAAAAAACGTTTGTATGGTGCTAATTCAAGTTTCTTATGTACTTAGGATAGCTAATGAAGCATTTTAGCCACTAAAATTTTTTTTCAATTTTTGAAGTTGCTTCAGCTGTGCGGCCCCCATAAGTCGGCATTTCAAAAATTAATTTACGCATTTTCAGTTATATGAAGTAAAATAATACCATGTATCAGTATGTTTATAGTATTTTATTTTTTTATAGTGATGATTTTGTGACAAGTTTATTATTATTTCCAACGACCTGAAATAGAACAAGCAAGTTCATGGCACGGTATTAAAGGCAAACATGATGCTCAGCTTCATCCGACGATCAGCCTCTGACATCAACAACATCCAAGTCCGCAAGATTCTTTACCTGTCTTTGGTTAGAAGCAAATTGGGGTATGCCAGTCAAGTGTTGGCACCCCAAACAGTAACTAACATCGCTACAATGGAACGCGCCCAACGTCGTGCCACCAATTTCATCCTTTCCCTCCCTTATAGATCAGGTGTTTTGTACAAAGACCGACTCCAGTCTATCGATATTCCTCCCATCTGCTATTGACTCGAGTTTCTAGATTTAGTTTATCTCTACAACTGTGTTGTTAATGACTCTGATACAAACATCTCAATACGGGTTTCTAATCGTAGAACCAGAAATTCTAATTCCGACAATGGTATTCTACTAAATGTACCTAAATCCAAGACTGTTAGCATGTTACCCTGTCTAACGCCAGACAATTTTACTCGTCAAGGGGAGAGCTCCGCCGCTTAATGGGTTAAACTGACCTGCAGAACAATGCCACTCTTTCATCTTGAAGCTACTGATACGGAGTATTTCCCCGCATCATCACAAATGGACGAGAGATGAGAAAAGGGCTGTTCTTGAACACTTGGATAATCACATTTGGGAAGAAAAAGTCCCAAATAAAAACGAATGTGACGTCTGCAAGCAAAAGTCTGGCAGCGCCTTGAACAAGCGTGACTGGAAGGCGATAAAGTACTACATAAAAAAACCAAATTTCCAAGAGAAAGAAGATAACGAAAAGAATATAAAAAGAAAAAAAAACATTACATGGGACTAGAGCCCATTTGATATATATCTCATAAGGTTGTCAGACTCCAAGAGGAATCATCAGGTGACTTTTGAGGTATATCAATACTATATTTGCTCTAATGTATGACATTGAGAAATTCATAGCATCCGTGTTTGGTTTCCACGAAACTGAGAGCATCTTAACTCCTTTTTCTCTGTCTAAACTCCTTTTTCTCTGTCTAAACTAATGTGTTTTGCGTTGGGTAATTCTTCTTGAGGTTCGACAATCTTTGAATTTGGTGCCGATTCATTTCTTTTGCAGAAAGTTCTGTTAACTGACCTGCAGAACAATGCCGCTGTTTCATCTTGAATCTACTGATACTGAGTATTTCCCCGCCTCTGTTATTCTCTGCAAGGCGCTGCGTACTGACGGACATGAATGGATCAAGTCATCAACGTATCTGTCTCGTTCGATAACTTGGATGCCTCTGGAGCGATTTTTGGTGTTCTTTGGCCTACTTAACTGAGAATGTCCACAAAAATCAAACATAAGGCTGCCACGACTGAAAAATCGATTTTGCTCAAATTTTGCCCAGATATACCTTATTATATCGGAAAATGCACCATATATTTTTTTAGGTCAAATGCTTTTTTAACTTTGAGAAAATGCCGTTTTAACACAACCACCCTAAATCGTCATTTTGTCTGCGAAAATATGCGCTGATTTTACCGACAAATTTCACGACAACAACCGTTTATAATCGATATAAAACCCTAAAAATCTTGTTTTCGATTATTCAAAGGACCGGGTAAGTGACTTACAGGAAATCTGAGTTACTTTTAAGAATAGAAATAATCGTAGTTTTGGAGCACACTATCTTACTTCATTTACGATACCCTCTTAACAAAACCAATTTTCACCATGCGATAAAGCTCCAAATCAATCATGCTTCTACTTGTTGGCTCTTTAATAAACAAGCTTTCAATTGACGTAAATACTTCTTTTGGCAAATGAATACGCGATAAACGACAGCGTGTTGAAATCGTCCGTTTTTGATGTCTTGCAAGTCAAACACTGTTAATTTACATACCGTCGAAGTAAACAATTTAATCAAGTATTCTAAGTATTTTACCTTTGAGAAGAAGTATATTCTTGAATGGAGACTTTTTGCCTTGCTAAGTTTAAAATTGGTCCAAAAATCCCAATATATTTGTGAAATATCATCATATACAGGTATTTTGAGATATAATTTTGTTGTCAGTTGCATGATAACTTCAGATCACTGTTCAATATTGTCTACTTTTAATAGTGCTAGCATACAGATCGATGAGCCATTTAGGGATTATAATTGTTACTAAATTTACCAGAATAATTAGAACTACAACTGCTGTTTTCAGAGGTTTTGTTCCATTTTGTCCATATTAATCTACCATTTTATATCGACTAACACCCGTCTTGTTTGAGGCCGGTGAACGGCGAATTTCGCCTGCGCTCAGAAAAAAATTAAACCCATTCGCCGGAGGCTCTGAAAAATTCGCCAGCGCCTACAGTCTGTGCAGTTATGATAAGTTGTCAAGTTAACGTATTAGCAGAGTATCAATAATTTATTAAATGTGCTAAACTATTCATTAGTTTTTATTATACGAATCTTTATTTTTTGCTGAAAGTTCGCTAAACCAGTAAACTTTAAATTCTTGCATAATCAGTATAGTTATGTACATCGATGAACATACAGGGCTTTAATGGAGTCTTGTAGGGTACACTCTATTAGGGTATGTGTTCTTTTTTGGTTAATTATGGATAATTCGGGTTTAATATCCAGCTGTTATTGCATAATAATCCATGGTAAACATGGCAACCGTTAATGACAATGAATAAGATGTTTTCGCTTGGTTTTGGTTTCATTTGGAAGGTATTGTACAAAGAAAAGAACAATATTAAAAACTTTTTCCATTAAGTTATGTTTATCACTAGAATTCATTTCATTTATTCATATATTTAGTAAAAAATACAGGGAGAAAATGTCATTCGAAAAAGTATGTATGTCTTGTGGAAAAACACATTCTATTTGTGCGTAAATTGCGATTCTGGCATTTGTAACCGCCCATGTTGCAGCAAAGCCGTTGATATCACTCATCGGCATATTCTGAAGGACATCCAAAAAAGATAAGTGAATGCAATACTTGCAGTTGCATCAAGAAAACAGTTCCAAAACAAAACCAATCAACAATAAAAGACTTCTTTGCCAAAAAGTGAGTGCTTTACTCTTTAACTATTAAAATCATTTCAAACTTTTGAATTCGCCAGACTTAAACACTTTAATCTTTGGATCTGATTCAATCGTTATAAAGTTGCATAAAGTGTGTTATAAAGTTGCCTGAATAACTTCATTTTTCCATGATGCGGGGGGGGGGGGG